ATCTCTGTCTGTAATGTAAGACATGAAATATGTGCAGTTTGCCAGAGTTGTGCTCACTACTTCTTTTCCTTTTCCTTCAAAGATCAAAATCAAAACAGAAGGAATTCTGATTTTTCAACAAATCCAAAATTTAAATTATAGATCTGCTGTAGATTTGGTTGTGCAAGTCAAAAATGGGAAGTTTTGCACCTTCTGAGTAGCTTGCTTGCTTATTCTCATGTGCCTGACCAGCAGAGAACTTGTTAGCTCAGGAGAGTTCATATCACTCTAAAATAGTGTCTGTACAAAAACATGCAGGATCAATTTTGGAGAAATCCAGCACAGCCTATTGGACCAATGACCTTGACTAAGAGTTAACCCTGTATGGGTGTACACTGCATGTGTTAGCTATGTTCACCACCCCAATATATATAGAGTAGAGGCCTAGTGGCACATAGTGCTTATTAATGATTTCTTTTAAAGTACAGAAGTTGTTAGACCAAAAGTTCATGTACCTGCGCTCTGCTTTCTGAGAACAGCAGTTGTAACTCCTGTTTATGGTTGGGAAAAGCCTCTGCTTTGTGTCAGGCTATGTAAGTTTTCATGTTCCTACTGTAGTGGTCTTGCTTTAAGGAAAACCTCTGTGTTGAACTAGTTTATATTCTCTTCTTTAATGCAGGATGACCCCATAGGAAATATCAATCTTGCCATGGAAATTGCTGAAAAACATTTGGATATTCCTAAGATGTTGGATGCAGAAGGTAAGAGTTATATGTTACCTAAGTTTCTGTCATTCATAACACTTTTTAGGAAACACTAAAATGTTCATATTTGCAACATTCTAACATTAAAATTTCAACATTCCTGTTACATGAATCATCATGGCACGATCTCATCTTTCTGTGTCTTTTTCAAATAATCTTTTCCTTCATGTTGCCCATATACTGGGCAATTCCACTTCTACTTACTTATTCTTTGTTATTGTTTACATTTATTATAGAACTTCAGGTGCTAACCTTAGCAAATGGCCCCCATGTGGCAGCTCAGGTACAAATGCAGGATCAAAAGCAATCCTTGCCTTGAAGAACTTAAAATCTAAGCCTGATAAAGGGAAATGCGCCTGTTAGCAGCTTAAGGCATCTTCACTTTTTAGTTTTGAAGCAAAGGCATTGGAAAGAGAAATACTACTACTGATCTCTCAAATATGCTACTGATAATATGCCTTCCATGAGAAAGAGCCAGGTTGGGGGAAGCTTTTCATTTTGTTTTAGTTGTAAATCTTTTTCAGTGATCATTTTCATCAAATAGTTTCATGTTTGGTTCCTAATCTTTAGGGTTTGTCTAAAAAATAATAGGAAAATATTTATCAAAATTTCCTGAACTTCTTCAAGGTAGACAATCATTTGAAATCTAGGCAAAAATGATACCAAAATACTGGGACTGGCCTATATTGGTACAAAGCACTTCTCTAAGTATGCAAACTCTGGTACCGAGGCTTGTCAGTAGAGCAGTGATAAGAGAGGAAATATCCAGAGCATTCAAACTCTCTCTCTGCCATCCTTGAAGACTTTGGTAGGAAAGTTAGGCAACCCCAGAATGCTTTTGAAAATCTGTGTTGCAACCTCTTCAGTAAAGAGGTTTCTTGATTTCCCTTGGCTTTGAGTGCTTCAAAATAATCATTTTCGATTTTGAAACTGTCTTTCCGCTTTCAGGCACCACTTAATTGGTTTGCTCTAAAATGCTATGCAAGGAATTAATGGATGTGCTACTTCCATACCATGGGACAGCTCCTGCTATCATTCTCCTTTTCTTCATCTCTAGCCTTTACCTAACTATCTTCTATCTTGGCAAGTGTAAGGGGGCAATGAAATCTTCCTTCTTCTGACACTTCTGCCATCACTTTTTAAAGCAACTATAATCTCAGTAGAGACTTTTCAAGAGTTTGTTCACAACTATGTGAAATGGATGCAAAATCAGTAAATACATCAGCTCTGAAGTTAGAAGATCTCACTGTTAATATTAGAAATTAGACCTAATCTCTGGGTCATTTCACACCAACATCTTCCCACTCCTGCATCTGCAGGAATCTTTGCAGTTGGTGCTGCATCCTTCATCACGCACTCACAGTTGGTGTAAAGCCACCTTTTTCTGCTTTGTCTGTTGATGTATTAAAAGGATTCATTTTTAGCATTGCACGCCCACTTCAATCACTCTCTCTCTATGCTTTTAATCTTCCCTCTCCTAATAGGGATGAAACTATCAATCAGACAACACAAACTTTTCTATGGTTTTATACTATTGACTAAAAAGATAGTGTGGTTAAAGAAGTGCAAAACTGTTACTATCCAAGCTTTTCTTAGCACAGAATTTACTCCTGGACTACAGGAGTGCACGTTCTTAAGGTTTCCAATATATGTCAGTTGTCTGTGAGCCACAGGGATCTTGTGCTAATATGCACCACATACACTTGTATTTTGTGACTGTCAATAGCCATGTTTAACTCTGAAATAAGTCTAGTAATTTAGATGAAGTTACTCTGGAGTGACAGTGAAGCTGAACCCAATAGATCTGCCAGCCATGCCATCTGCTCTGGAAGTTTCCACAAAACCAGAATGTAGCAATACCCTTCTGTACAGCCTCTGTTTTCAGATGCTCTAACATTTCAAGGAGAGATACATCTCTTTTCCATTTATTGACTTTTAAAGCTTAGGTAGCTATGCACTGATATCAGTAAACAAGTAAACACCTGCAAGCTGAATGATGATATATTTATTTTTAATCCTTGGTGAATTCAAGGAGGTGGATTGATGAGGTGGCATCATCAGCATAATCTATTGGAAGTACCTTGTTGCTAGAATTTCTGAGCAGTTAACCCTCTTCTCTCTATACAGATGTAGTAAACACTGCCAGACCCGATGAAAGAACCATTATGACTTATGTTTCCTGTTACTACCATGCGTTTGCTGGTGCTCAGAAGGTGAGGTTGTAGAAGATGGATCAGATCTCACCCTTCACCTTCTGTGTTGTTGTTTCTTTCAGGAGTTTTCTGATCTTTTCCTCACTAGTTTCTAGGATAGCATCTTAGTCTTGAGCTCATTTCCTATGGCCTGATTTTCTCTGTGAGCATCTGTCTCTGTAGGGGCAGTAGTAGTTTGCCCATTTGTCTGTAAAAGCAAACCTTCCGGTTTCATCTTCTGTATATACTTACTAATAATGTCCAGTAGGTTTTCAACAGCTGGCCTCTGAGCTGGAAGAGGACATTATTCTCGTAAATTGAACTTTCATGCCCTGATTTGAAGCACCTTTAAAATGCAAGATGAATATAAGCTCACAGAGAAAAAAAACAATTTCAGTAGCAGAATGCCATCTCTCTCTCCCTGCTGGATATTATTCCTGCTACAGACGTCAAAATCATCATAACAGGTGCTCAGAAAATGAACTGTTCTCTTATGCTTTCAGGATTGTTTTTAAAATGTTAAGCACTTAATGGTAAGTACAGACAGCAACATAAAACATTGGTAATATGCAAAGTAGACGTAGAAACATATTCAGACTTCTCAGAGGAGCTCTGGAATCACGTCCTAATGAAAAGAAGCACAAGTAGAGAAAGCAAGGAAGTTTACAAAATTAAACATATTCTGTAGACATGGAATTCAGATATTAGTAAAATCAAGAATACTGAATACATAATGCGAAAATGATAACTAATCCAGCGACAGAGGAGAGGACATTTTCCCGGATCAAAATGTAGCCTTTTTTTTTCCCTAAGCCTTAGTCAAAAAGCCGTGCTCTGAATCACCAAAGATTTGGATGCCGTGCAACAACCGGCAGTCGTGCTCACCCCTGGGAACCACGGAGTTCTGTGAGAAATTCTGAGGCAGATAGTCCTGGTGAAATGAAGGGAATTCACTCTTTTCTGCATGATTAGGCCCATTAAATAATCATATTTTCATAGCAGCTCATTCTGAGTTACTAGGATATGTTTTTTCGTTTTTGTTTATTCTTTTCTTTTTCTGCCAGCACCAATCAATCTAACAATTTATTACATCTTTGTGTAGTTTCTACAGTACAGAGCGATCTATGGACAGTAGAACAATCAGAATGACAACTATATTGTGTTTTCATTTATTCATCCTGTTTTCTACTCCTCGATTTTTTTTGTTTTCATTTCTCCCTTCCCCTTGTAGATATTGTGAACACTCCTAAACCTGATGAGAGAGCTATCATGACATATGTGTCCTGCTTCTACCATGCTTTTGCTGGAGCAGAGCAGGTATTATTCAATTGTCCCTTCAGGTTGCTGTGTTTTTGATTGGTTGTTTCACATTTCCACCACCTTATTAAAAAATTCTGACTTAGAACTTTGTGCTTTTAATTAACAATTGCAAGTACTTGTTTTTAACCAGCACTTGAATCTGATTTAGTTAAATGTTCTGTAGAAGGTGTAATTTTTTATTCCAATGGGCATTACAGCTTCCTATCAGAATTTTTATTTTTGCGTGTATCCTTATTTGGTAATTCCAAAGGCTATTTCAGGAAAATTATATTTGAAGATGCTGTGTTTGTTGCTGTGCCAGAAAATGTTTTTGCCTTGCCTTCTCTTCATATAAAGAACGTATGACCACATTCACAGTGTTTGGACAGTGACGCTGTATGAGCCTTTCTCATGCTGAGTAATAGTTTAGGACTAGATTTTCAAAGAGACCTCAAGATGCAGAGAGACACATAAATGTCTAAACAGTGTTGGTGCCTGATTCCCAATAAAACTAGCAGAATTATTTGTGAAGTAAAGAGCTAGCACAGGTATCAAGAACATCAGCAGCAAATCTGTCATGCTGGATAGATTTTTCACTTTAAAAAGTCACATTTCCCTCTCTGCTGCTTCATCTATTTGTAATCTACAAATGGGCACAACCCAACTTATGTGAAAAAAAGAATGCCTTAAAGCAACTGATATTTTGCCTCCATCCTCAAGATTTAATTTCCCTTCCAATCTGGCAGGCATCTTATACCTTGCCAGAGTACAGCTACATATTGTTGCATCCTTTTGCTTCTTAATATGCAGGTCCTCCTTTGCCTCAGGAGCTCTGTAAGTTATGTTAATTTTTATTATTAATGCAAAAGAGAGGTTCCAAATATCCTCTGTAGCACAGGAGTCTGCAAAGATTTTTTTTAATCCACTGGATTTATTCCAGACTCACATTCGTATGAAAGTATAGATAAGTGATGTCAAACTATTAGTGTCAGTTTTAAATATGGCAGAGCAGCCGTGCTTTCACAAACAAGTTTGGCAGGAGGCACAAAAAGGGTTGCTGGCAGTGGCTGAGCTGCATGCATCCTCGAGGATATACGTGCATGTGATGTGCAGATAAGGAGTGGTATGGGGTTCCTAAATGACATGGGATGTCTTTCCAGTGTGGCTAACAAACCTAATATATTTTTTGTGTGCTTTAGAAAAAAAAAATTAATAGGATAATTTAAAGAATGTCCTAAACTGCTCTGAAAATGATTTATTAGACAGTTGTAATGGTAGTTTGAAATTCTTTCTTGTACAACCAAGTGTCTTCTGTGCCAGTCTGTGCCTCATTCAGGCCATTGGAATTTGTCAGTACAGACTTTGCCCCGCAACAGCTGTAAGGTGAGGTAAGGTATATTTGAGTATAATAAGTTTATATTTGAGTCACTTAAGAGCACAGATCAGCAACTGTAAAATGGTGTACCTTTTATTTGCAGAAGCCACATTTTGTCTCTTTCTCCAAGCCTGTGCCTGTGTCAGAATGTGATTATGAATATGTCTTGTTTACTTGTTGTATTTTATAGGCTGAGACTGCAGCTAACCGGATCTGTAAGGTGCTTGCTGTGAATCAGGAAAATGAAAGGTTGATGGAAGAATATGAGAGACTAGCAAGTGAGGTAAAAACAGCTGTGTCTGTAACACAGTGATAGTTTTGTGGATGTCACTCCTTTGCCACACACTTCCAGTGTGACTCCGGCTGGTCCATCAGTCTCTCTGATGTGCCATCAGGGGTGGGGTTTTTTGTTCTGAATCTACCCCCAAAACCTGAGTTACTTGACCAGTATCTGTCCTGATCTCATAACTATGACTGCTTGAGACATCAAGACCAACGCTTTTGCGAGTGGCTAGTAATTTAGGTAGAGACAGCTTACATGTGTGTTGAGCTCTTTCTAAGATCGCTGTGTTTCTAGAAATATCTTCATTCTAGGCATACTTTAATTTGGGCAAATTAGGAAAAAAAAAAAGAAAAAAAAAAGCATCCTATATTATTGTTCCCTTTTTCCTTGTGCCGCCATTATGGCATTAATACCAACTCAAGGCATTAAAAGTAAGATGGAGCAGAAATGTATGAGGTTTGTGCATTCAATATTATTTTCATTGGTTGCTTTTTCATTGCCTATATTTCAATGGTTGTATGGATTTGACAGCTTTTAGAATGGATTCGACGGACGATTCCCTGGCTGGAAAACAGGACCCCAGAAAAAACAATGCAGGCCATGCAGAAAAAATTAGAGGATTTCCGAGACTACCGCCGCAAGCACAAGCCTCCCAAAGTCCAGGAAAAATGTCAGCTGGAGATCAATTTCAACACCCTGCAGACAAAGCTGAGGATCAGCAATCGGCCAGCTTTCATGCCATCAGAGGGAAAAATGGTTTCAGTAAGTAAAAGAGGGATCAATATTCCCTTCTCCTTTAAATCAATATTCTCATGAAAATTTCAATAGAGAGGATGGAATTGCCATTCTAAATTATCTTCAAAAACTTCATTTTGTTTCACTTTATCAAGCCATTCTTTCTGCACATTCCCTTTCATTGAGTCTTGTTTCCCTTCAGCATGCTCCTGCCTCTTGCCAGGCTTTCTCTGGTAGCAAATTGTCTTGAGACATGACAAAATTCAGACTTCCCACTTGAGGAGTGTTACCAATACTCCTCTATCAGGGAGACCCAGTGCTGTTATTTATTTAAGAAAAACTCACAGAGGTTTCCATTACATTTTGGTCATCAGGCTTACAGAAACAGACACGGATCTGTAAATGTTTCTGCCTTTTTCTATTTTTTAAAGTTTCACTGGATTTCTACTTATGTCTCTGAAGATAAGAGTAGTCCATATCAGGAATTCTCATCTGTTGCTAAATATTGGGAGTTGAATGTGGGTCAAAACACTTCTTCTGAAATATAGCAAACCTGTTCTAATATTGCATTTTTGCTGCTCCGATTTGATAAGTAGACAATTGCCCTATCTGAAAACAGTGACTACAGTTATTTTCTCCCCGTACTCAAAAGACAAGATGCCTTTCAGATCAGTTTACTACTGATGTCTTTGAATTTCCATAGAATCTCACAAAACATTATGTGCACCACAGAAAGTGAAATTAATTTGTATTCCAAATAAAACAACTGAATACGAGTTACTGTGTTATTTTCAACTTCTGAGAACAAAACACCTTTATTCAGATAACAGACATACCCTTCATAAAAGAACATGCATTTTATAAAATGGGAAGTTAAAGTAATATTTCATGAGGATGCTCAACAGATAGCTACATTTGGAAGCCCTTTTTATAAGGGTTCACTTCTTGTATGCTAATACCAGAACCTCAACACCTGAATCACCTGCATAGGATGCTCCATAATGAGCAGGAATTTGGACTACATGACTTCCAGAGGTGCGTCAGAACCAACATTTCCATGATTCTGTGATTTTTAAAAAATATGGACATAATTTCAAAAATGCGAACAAAATAAGAACAAAATTATCAATGAATGCCAAATTTGCAAATTCAGATAAAAAAGAGATTGCTATGTCATCCCCTGCCTTCCATGTGTTCTCCTCACAGGATATTGCTGGTGCTTGGCAGAGGCTTGAGCAGGCTGAGAAAGGCTATGAAGAGTGGCTGCTGAATGAAATACGAAGACTGGAAAGACTTGAACACTTGGCTGAGAAATTTAGGCAGAAGGCTACTACCCATGAACATTGGGCATATGGTGAGCATAGGTGGCTTTTACATTTTTTATAGTTTATTTTTCAAAGTTGAAGTGTTGAATGCTGCGTATTTACTAGACAGAAATATAACTAGTAAGCACTTTGGACAATATTAGAAACCTCAGATAATAACCGTTACAATTTCAGGTTTTGTTGGCTGCAGTCATGGCTAACTTACAGGTGTGTTGCTAATTAAATTTAACTGCAAAAATCATATTTTTTTCTGTCAAGATAATGACTAACACTTAATGGGAATATCTGACGTTTGATTAAAGGCTGTTACTGGTAATGTGTTCCTATATGTTTGTACACCAGCAATCCAAGAAAGACAGCACTGAGAACAGAGATCCTGTTTTACAGCTGAAATTTCAACTAAAAAAATAAATTGGAATCTGTGGTTGGTTAAACATCGTTACATTTTTAACAGTGTTTCAAGTTGACAATCATGTGGCCATCATGATGGTTTTGAATACTGTACACAAACCATGCGGTAATGGACTCATTTCTACTGAGCTCCATACCCTGCTATACTCCAGTTACAGGCTGGTATTGTATGGCAGCCTAGCCTTACGTGTACTTGTAGCATCTCTGGGTCTGTGTAGTTTACAGCACTGGCAGAAAGTGTGTTGGGGACTTTAAACATAGATCTGTTCTATCATCCTGCTGTTTGTAGTGACAAACGTTTTCACGCTTCCCGCTCCCAGTCCTGGCTTTTGCCATCTAGAATCTCTTCCCACTGCGCAAGTAAACCGGAGCGTCCGTCCCACAGCACAGTTGCTGGAAGCATGCAAGGCAGTAAATGGCTGCCAAGAAGATACTAAAAGTGGAACTAAAGTGCTTTTCAGCCCTTAGAGCCTCTTTTCTCTACATGCACTGCTCATGGTGACATGTTTTGGCTGTTGCATGGGGAGAATCTCACAAAAGCTGGTACATAGCAAGTGTCTTCATAGTCCCTTCTGGCTTTAGAATCCACGGATCTGTGTAATACCATGTGGCAAGCTGCAGTTGAAGGGCCTTTCTCTATAGATTTAGTCATCCAACACAGGAATTACTGAGGAGTAATTGCTCACTTTCTCATTTCCTCTGTTTATTTCTCTAGCTCTTTGTAACCAGGTTGGTGTTTTCCACTTAAAATTCAATAAGTGATGCAAAAGATGGTCACACATCTCCACCTTAACTTTTGGGCAGAAGTGCTTAAATGAATAATAAATTGAAGGCACAACATGAAAAAGAATAATAGATCATTAAGAAGAGTGAAGCTGAGCATAGCAATGTGATTTCTGCTTTCATAAATCAAGAATACATTGCAAAAGACTTACCAGAAGAGCTTAGAGCTCCAGTTTTTGCCAATATACCATTTTTATGCCAGTATGCCACTTGCTCAAGCAACTTACTACTAGCTATTTGAGGGCAAATAACTATTGCTATAATGGCTATACTTGAGCTGGTGCAAGAAAAAAAAGGAATTATTTAAAGCCCTTCGAAAAACACATATTCCTGACTAAAACTGTTGCACTGACAATTAGCCACTGGTTTCAGTGGGGTCAGGTTTTCATCACAGTGTGACACTGACAAGAATTGTTTAAATTTGCAATTGTTCTAATTAATAACTCAGTAAAATATACTATTTTTTTTCCTTACAGGCAAAGAGCAGATCTTACTTCAGAAGGATTATGAATCTGCTTCTCTGACAGAAGTTCGCGCTATGTTGAGGAAACATGAAGCTTTTGAGAGTGATTTGGCTGCTCACCAAGACAGGGTGGAACAGATCGCTGCCATTGCCCAGGAGCTGAAGTATGTTCCATTTAAAGGCTTGCAGCTGCTGACATTTAACTTTGAGATAAACTCTTTCCAGTGAATTCGATAGTGTCATAGGTACCCGTGTAGGAATTCCAGAGATAGCTTCAGAAGGATATTATCCGAGTTGCTCACTGAGACCTTCCCCTCCTCTCCTACCAACCCCTAGACAAATATAGATATTAAACTGACCACAGTTACCCCCTTCCCAAAAAAATAAATCGACTTAACAGTGAGCTTTTAGTATTAGCTCTACTGATGAATAAATTGATTGTTGTGACGGGGATGCTGGAGGTGTTAATTTCTCAGTTCATATGATCTGCTGAGAGGCACTGGCTATGAGTTTTTGCCTTAGAAAACAATTTCACGTGACTCAGAAAAATTACAGATCACATATTTTCACTTTGAAATCAAGTATTTTCTCACAATTATATAGGTCGTTTTAAAAGATTCACATCCCCAAACTATTCCCTCTATAGAGGGTGGCCTAGGCACTACACTTTTATTCTCTGATAACAAGAGTCCGAAGTTTTTATGTTTCTAATACACCTACTTTCACAATCTCTTCCTTTGATATTGAAAATTGCTATTGTTGCCTTTTACAGAAATGGCAGTGGGGCATGTGGAAGCTTAGTGACTTGCTCAGAGTTACACAATCCAGCTGTAGGAAAGCCAGGATTTTCACCCAACACCCAACATAGCTCCAACACTTGCTCATTCAACATACTATAACCAAGGAAAGCACATTTGATTTAAAAATCTACTCTAATGGATTGCATTGCTTTTGTCCTGCAAATCGGTGGCACTATTCCTGATCTTAACATTTGATAGACATTTAAATTCATTGTTCACCTGCAGTATAAAACTGCAATGCTGAGAGAGAGAAATGATTGTTTGTGATCAAAACAGGAACCAGCACAAAGGAACTCGTATTCCTATCTCTGGCTTCCTGCATCAACTCTCTATAACTCATAAGCAGCTCCAATTCATGAACAATTTAAATATCAAAGATCTATCTAAAAATGTAGTGTATACCTTTTAGCAGGTATAAACCTATGTCATTAAAATGGATTTAGAAGAAAAATAGTCTGTTTTTCAAGTTTATTTAAAAGAGACCAAGTAGAGCACAGTGGGCAAACCAAGTAGTTTTCGTTACTATGAAAGAAGTCTGAAAGATAAAGACTGCAGATTTCACTGCCTGTTTCAGCTTGTGGAACGAACACCTTGTATTTCACCCTGAGTTCTAGGCCTATCTGGTGTGCAGCTATTGCTCCACTTTATATTATAGAAAGTTTCTGAAATACTTTATCATTGTTAATTCAGCTTCATCTTTGCAAGTCCGTGGAAACTTTGAATATTCAGCATACACAGGACAGCAACTGCTACCAGTTTTTTCAACTCTGTGTGCTTTACCTCTGGTGAGGCCAGTGAACCCTGTATTCTGTTTTATGGTTCTCTCCTCTCTCTTCTTTCTGTGAAATTGAACCACTTATTTGTGGCCTGGGTTGTAAAGGGGCTGAAGATTCATTGCCTATAGAGATGCTCTCCTTGGCTTTCTGCTCATCCATACAAGGAGTTGGTCTATAAGAGCCTGGTTTTTCACTAAGGCTCAGCAGCTCAGGCTTATGTCCTTGGAGAACACTGAATGGAAGATGTTGAATAGAGGCCAAGTATTATTATTAGTTGCAGGCAAATGGACAGCTTCTACTTAGATATTGTGTCTGATTATCCCCAGTTTCTCACACCACTGTTAAAATTATGGAGGAAAATGCTAGTTCCTTTTTCTGGTCATGTTTTTTTTTTTTTTAGAGAGCTAACTTATGAGTGCATTAGTGCCTGGGCGACTGAAGTCAATGACAGTTGTCCTTTTATTGACTTCTTTGGGCACAGGATCAGGCCCTTACAGAAACCATCGTCATCATCTGTGTCTGAGTTCCTGGTCAGGGCACCTCCATTCCTTTACTTGCAGTCATTTCTTGGGGATCTGGTGCCACTCTTGGGAAGGTGAACAGCCCCTGCGTGACCTTGAGCTGTCCCGGTGGCAGTTCACTCTTTCCTCTGGTATCTTTTGCTGCAGCAGCTGAGTCTGCTGTGAGCTAAAGGTTAGAGTTGTTAAAAGCTTGTTGATGGATGCTGTCTAGATAGAGGATCTGTGTGTGTGCGCACAGGTCATTCCAGCGTGGATGCTGTATAGGGTCGCTGTGTGCCAGCCTGTATAGATTTGGAAATCCTTGGCTGGGCAGCATGATGGGGCTTGGATGGGGCCATAGGCAAAGCTGGAAGAAGGACAAGGGATTTCTAAACTAGGATTTACCATTTATAACATAGTAAAGGCTAAGCAGAACTGGAGTAAGATGTACTGCAAAGAGCTAAGTTTATTTATAGTCCTGTGTAGTCCTGTGTTTTTAATCATCAGGACAAAATTTATTGAATGTAGTTTCTTGCGTATTCATCACTTTTACCATAGCAACATATTTTCGGGTAAGACAACATTATATGAGACTAAAACATAGATTGATCTGGGGAGCCTTTTTGCTTGTGGAAACCCGGGCTCACGTTGTGCTTCCAGGCACGATCAGAGTAAACCACGTTCAGAGTCGGGGCTTGCCGGGTTGTCCTTGTGTCCCTGTCATTCTTCCTAAAGCGAGCTCATGCATAAATGCTTCTGTGCACAAAATTTGCCTATATTTTTAATTCTTTACAGATAAATTACCTGCAAGAACAAAAGAAATAGCGTCCTGAATTTTAAATTCTAAAGCTTGAAGATTTCAAGTAACCAAATAAATAAAACTGACTGTTCCCTTGGAAGCTCTGTTAATGTATGTGCAGCAGCACTCTGTTTATGCATGATAAGCTAAACTACTCTTTACAAAAATATGAAATTTGGTCTTTTCACAGTTTCAATGTTGACAGAGACACAAAAATTAACAGGAAAAAGAATATAAACCTGTGCTTTATTTTTATATAAATAATCTCCTGTAAGTAATTTCTTCCTCCGCTCCTGCTTCAAGGTTAAGAATATTCTTTGATGCATAATGCACTTACTTGAAGTAAGCTCTAGCAGGCGTAGTGGAGCTACACTGATTAACGCCACTTGCTTATCTAGCTTATGATTTTTGGCCCACTGGTGTTCTTTTTTAAAACTGTCTTGATAGTGTTACTCTTTCCATGGTATTTAGAGTTAGGGAGACTTTGTGTAGCAGCTTCCTCCTTACACATAGCAGTTCTGCTTTTACAATTTCTGGTTGATTTTGTTGTGTTTTAAAGATGCTATGGTGTTTTATTTTTGCTTGTTTCACCATTATTTACTTTCAGTAATGAGCTGCTTGCAGCCTATCTGAAGACCCTTTTTAACTGAGTGGTTCAGATATTTCTTGACTTTTTCTGCCACTGGCCTGTGCCATAACTTCACTGAGGAAAACTGTCTTCTCGTTTTGTCCCCTGCGATTCACTGACTTACTGAAGAAGTACATTCCTCCTGCAATGGTATAAAGAAGAATGTTCACATTCTATTATTTTTTGTGAAATTATTACTGTTCTTAAATGTTTCTCTGGATCAGGACCAAATTTGTCTGAATTTTTAATTCGGTGTCTTGTTCAATCCTTAGAGTAAATCTTAGCTTCATGTTGTCATGCTGTCATGTAAACACAATTTCTGCAATGCCTAGTGCTGTGCAACGTGTCCTCAAGGAGCAGCCAAGAGCTAAAGTCAGTGGATGACGTACTGATAAGAGTGAGATGCCAAACGTGTGTTTCGTTATGGTCATGAAGGCTGCAGCAGAAGCAAGGGGATTACCTGTCAGTGAGATCCAAACTTGACGTGAAACAGACTCAGCCCAGAATTTCAAACAGGGCCTTGAAATGTTCTTGCACGTTTTAGTCAGAATAGATCACTTTCTGGCAGCATAACATAAACCCTTTCAGCAAGTAAGAAATGCTGGTTGCCCCTTCCTTGTGTGTGCCCTGATTCATGCTGGTGGCTGGCCCCAGAGATGCATGTTCCTTCTGAACCAGCCTCAACGAGGTTGTAGCTCTGCGAGGTTTTCCTGGAAAGAATGATAAGAGTTGTTCCCTGTGCCCTACATCTGGGCAGCTTCTGTTAATAGCCAGGCCTGTGAGGGAGGGATCCTGTGTGGAGTGCCAACCGGGCTATGCTTCTCAGGGAAACGATTCAGAGATTACGAGGCTGGAAAGGAGGTTATCACACCTCTGGCCATTGAGTGTAACACTGTACCAAGCTCCAGGAACCTGATAAAGCCCCAGATTGAAGCATTCTGGGCCTCAGGAGATCAAACTGCTGTTTGCCAAAGGAAAAGCTGAGATGATGATTAGGCACCTTGATGGTCACAGGTGGGCAGTTGATTTTTCCAACAGATGAGGAGGTCGATCTTGTTCTCGTGCTGTGCTGCTTGGAATGTGGAATGCCTAGATCACACATGGCAGTACTGCAACACTTGCCTAGCTGGAGGAGCAATAGTGCAAAAAAAGAGGGGAAGAAGTATGAAGGGCCAGTGGAAAAGGATGCAGAATATGCAACGTGCTCCTGTCTCTCAGAAAGTCACACAGACTTGTGTCTTCACTCTCTCTTAGTGAATTGGACTACCATGATGCTGCAAGTGTCAATGATCGATGCCAAAAGATATGTGACCAATGGGACAGACTGGGAACACTTACTCAGAAAAGGAGAGAAGCGCTGGAGGTAACGTGTGCAGCAACAACGAGCAGCTTAGTTGAGGTGGGGGCAAAGAAACCTCTTGCTTGTGATGTGGAGACTGTGCATCAGACAGAGCATCCACTGTGGAACCCACACAGCAATAAACCCATTCTTCAGATCTCCATTTCAATTTGCTGTGATTTTATTTGCAAACAGATTGAATTGCTCAGAACAAATTTTACAGTTCTCAGCAGCCAAGGACAGTTATAAAGCAGCAACAAATGGAATGTGGTTTATAGCACCACTCTTTGGGAATTTGATGCCCAGCAATAATAAAATCTATTAGGCACTTACCTTTTCTTACTTGTCTGAACATAAATTAGGTGAGTTACGGGATAATAGCCAGTACAGGGTGAGTTTTTTGGTAATGAGAATTCTAAAACTGTGTTCATTAAGAAAAGAGGGAGTCGCACCTACACATGCCAAGGGGAAACCAAGAGGATTGGTTTGAAGATAGATTTCAATAACAAAAAATACTTAAAATATCCCAAATGTCAAAAAAAATCACCTCTTATCTTTCAAAAGCTTATACCCCTTTTAATATGTTTGATACAAAAGTAACTTTAATGCAATTAGTCCTGTTGCACTGAATGATAATCTTCAGTGTGCCTCAAGCAAGTGGTGAAATCAGTCAACAAAATCACTAGCTGTTAAAAAAACAATGCATGACTTTGTGCATGGGTATGTGCTTGGAGTCAGCTTGTGCCTTAGTAACAAAAGAATGTGCCTCTCTCAACTTGTACAGAGGACAGAGAAATTGCTGGAAACAATCGATCAACTTCACCTGGAGTTTGCCAAAAGAGCTGCTCCTTTCAACAACTGGATGGAAGGTGCTATGGAAGACCTACAGGACATGTTTATTGTTCATAGCATAGAGGAAATTCAGGTACATGGTTTTCTATAAGGGAAGTCATAAGGGAAGACAAAGAAAGGGAAATGTTGCCTTTTTGTAAATGCAACGTGTAAGAAGAAAACAACCCTGCCTTGACATTTTCTTTATGATGTCTTCTCTATTATAAATATGTTTGGTTCTTTATTGGTATGGAGGAGTATTCCAGAGATCATGTAGGAAACTATTGTCCTAATAAAATGAGGACTTTTTCATTAAATTGGACAAACACAGGTAACCAGTGTGTTTGAAAGGATGGGAGGCAAACTGTGCTTATTTACAGCAGATCCAAAAGATGTTAGGAGCAACATTAAAGTTCTTGTACTTTCCCTTTCTCTTTTTCATTTTAGAGTTTAATCTCTGCACATGATCAGTTTAAAGCTACTTTGCCAGAGGCGGATGGTGAAAGACAGGCCATACTGTCAATCCAGAATGAAGTTGAGAAAGTTATTCAGAGTTACAACATGAGAATAAGCGCAACCAATCCTTACAGCACTGTAACTGTGGAAGAAATCCGTACCAAGTGGGAAAAGGTAGTGTATGCTGAATGCAGGAAGGACGTTGTAACAAATATTCTGGTTTAGGAATACTGAGAATATTCAGAGAGCTTTACAATAAATCTATTAATTATTCTAGATCTATTAATTATTCTAGATCTTCTTGAAAACTGTTGGAACTGACACAAAGTAAAAATTCATTCTTAAAAATCTTTACAGATATGGACAGCAGAAAGACATGGGAGCATAAGATTAGTTTATTACCTATTATGCTAAAAGCAGGTTGAACAAATTTTGCATCCTTTACATAAAGTAAAAATAATAGATCATTTGAGTATCTGATGCTGAGATGAAAAAAATACTGGGTTTTATGTTAGTTTGCATGATATAAAACATGTAAAAGTATTTCAGCAATTTCAAATTAATTATAACATAGAATTATAGTAGCCTAAATTTAATTATTTTCTTCAGTCTTGTGGATATAATATAGTGACATAGAAAATAAGTTGTAGGGACTATTTCTGTCAAAGTTAACAACAAAAGGCACAGAGATTTCACTTTGAGGTGGTCATATTTCAGATTTTTATTTAAAGTAAACTCTTCTGTGAACACTGGAACTAATGAAGTTACCATTCTATAGATATTTTTCCTCGCTTTTAGTCCAGAACCACTTTTATTTCCTTTTTGTGTATGACTAGTCCACTTCATATTCTGTACATGCCTTTAACACGTGACCGACTCCTTGCAGTATCTCTTAATCAACCCTCTCATACATTCTCTAAAACTTTTTACGGTATCTTTTTCTCTGTCCCATGTTTGCTAGGCCCACCTCATAATCCCCCCTGCTCCTATTACTCTGTATTATCTATGTCCTTTTTTAGCTTCTTGACTGGACAATAGATGCTGGTGGCTCTAGTGTTGTGGCAAGTGCAAAACTGGCAGAGGGTACCCCCAACAGAACAGAAAATGCTGACTTTCTTTTTCTCAATGTGAACTCCTGTTTGTGGGTCTCTTCTGCCCTGTGGGTGGGTTTTCTACCCAGTTTCATGAAACTCGTAAAAAAGTCATGTCCTTGTTCCCTAATGTTCAATCTAATTGGACTGAAACTGGCTAATGCATTAAAAAATTACTGCAGAGTGATTAAAGAGAAGCTCCCAAAGTGATCTTATAAAGTTTATTTTAACTAGAACCAAGACAAAAATATGCTGACGGTAAATGACTGCATAGAACATACAGATTTACCAGACACATACATTTATATGGCAAAGAACAAGAACGTGCTGTTGATGGGTTATAAGAAGTAAGCCATGAGGATAAACATAAAATCTCCCTGAGCAATCAAGAAGAGTAAGCCATAAAAAAAACCCATTGCAAACTATTAGAGACCTTCAGATATGTATGATGGACTGAACATGTTTCATATTATGCTGTCTTAATGGCAATGCTTGAATTAAATGTTTTGCACTGCTAACTCTTAGAGCTATTGCTTAGAGATGGGAATGATCCATGTTTCAAAAGCAAAATAAAGCAGCTGCTCTAGTAACAGAGTTAAAGCTAAACAATCTTCTTAATCTTAAATCCCACCGGAGGTGAGAATTTCTCCTCACTCCATGTCAGTCTCGCTGGCCAGGCTGCATTTTAGCAAGTCCTTATTTTAGCTGGGTATATACATTAGTTTCTGGCTTGTCCTCCTGATGCCAGTATTCAGACCAATGTGAAAATGAGTAGTTGTAGTGTTATTAGTTCTATTTTGTTTGAAGGGGTACAGTCATGTCTACTCACACTTTCTTTCACACTGTGACAGGTGAAACAGCTGGTGCCTCAGAGGGATCAATCCTTGCAGGAGGAGCTGGCCCGCCAGCACGCCAACGAGCGTCTGCGTCGCCAGTTTGCTGCTCAGGCCAACGTCATTGGGCCATGGATCCAGACCAAGATGGAGGTGAGTGTCGCACCCTCAAGCAGCAGCTGGTGAATGGAGTGTTTTAGCATTTTCTCTGCTATTTATACAGGACATGGGCAGCCTCCATGGTGATTCACCAGTTCTTTGATCCTTAAGTAATTAGCACCTTGTAAGATGGTCTTGAAAGTCGTGCAAGCTTGTATCTGTGTATCCTGATGGCGACAAAGAGATGTGACTTTGAAAAAATCAATAGCTAGGCAATTATTATTTTGCTTTTGCTCTTTGCAGAAAGATCCAGGGATTTTAATATTGATTCCAAAAATAAATGTGCCATTTTGAAACTTTCTTTAATAAATTACATAATGTCTTTCATATGAAGGTTTTATTACTATTGCTGCTTAGTCTGAAGATTTTACATATTTATGTGAGCATTTAGAAAATCAGCAAATCCAAAGCTTAGATTTTGGATGGGGGGTCTTTTTATCTTTTGACAGGAAATTGCCCGCAGCTCTATTGAAATGACGGGGCCTTTGGAGGACCAGATGAATCAGCTGAAGCAATATGAGCACAATATCATCAACTATAAAACCAATATTGACAGACTGGAAGGAGATCATCAGCTTATACAAGAAGCCCTGGTGTTTGACAACAAGCACACCAACTACACTATGGAGGTAGCTATTTAGTCTGTTTTGTACTTGTTTATTCTGTCCTCTTGTGCCCTGTAGCTACCTCCCCTGCCCTTAAGGAACTGCAACATAAGATGGAATTTGGCAGACCTTGCAATAGCCTTACAAACAAGTCTGAGACTTGTAAGGTTCCGGTTGTGCCAGCCATGACTTATGGCTGAAGTCACAAGATTGTTGCTCTTATTTTCTAAAACACTGCATTTTTTGTCACTTTTCCCCATGCAGCTGCGGTTTGCCAAAAGCTGAGTAGGGGCTGCTTGCTTGTCTTAGGCATACATATTTTAAAGAGCTCTTCTGAGACTTTCAGAAAGACATAGCAGAAATTGTTAAATGCTTTTTAATGGAACATAAAGAATACTGCTTAATCGCTCTGATAACTTCCTATGGCCAAAAAAATCAAATGAAAATACAGGTTGTCATGACTTGTTTTATTTTTCTTGAACAGTAAGTATTGTTTTGCTTTTGCAAAGCAATGTTTCTGTTCTACTAGTTTGCCACTAGAATTTCCTAATTACTAGTGAAGGCACCAGTCCTGGTGATGCTTCTGTGAGAGATGTTTTACATAGAAAACTTCTGCTCTGCTTTAAAACACACTTCCCATATTTTTAACATAACTTCTGAGACTGCAGATTTAAGGAATGCCTGAAACTGGGAATGTGACTCATTCAAGTGACTCTTCATCATAATATGCTGTAATTGGTACTGAAAAGGTGCCATGTAAATATGTAGAGAGTTGGGTTTTTTTCAGCTTATTGTACTTTCTATAGTCTTAAAGGAATATATTTTTTACCTTTATAAATCCGTGTTTTCTGTCTCCTAGCACATCCGTGTTGGATGGGAGCTCCTACTTACCACCATTGCTCGAACTATCAATGAGGTTGAGACTCAGATTCTCACAAGGGATGCTAAGGGTATCACCCAGGAACAAATGAATGAATTCAGAGCATCCTTCAATCACTTTGACAGGGTACAGTATTCCTCCTTTTTCTCCTCTAGCAATATTCATTGTTTCCAAAAGCACTCATTGTTTTTATTCCAAGTGAAATCCTCTTAAAAGCACTAAATGTAGTAAGAATAGATCCTTTCAAAAACACTAATAAAGATCAGTAAAAAAATAGGATTTATGTCTTTATAAAATCATAGCATTGTTCAGATACTTTAAAGATTAATTTGTCTTTAAATGTAATGAAAAATTGTACTTCAGTGAATATGGTTGAGTATTTGTTCAGATAACAGACAGGACTGGATACATCTGTGTATTTTGAAAAATAATGTGCCTCTATTTTAAGGCAGTACAGCACGTTGTTGTGCTTGCCAATGGTTTCCTTTTCGTTAAGTGTAAATGTTAAATTTTCATTTAGATGTAATGTGGATTATTAACAATATTTTTTTTCTTTAAATAACAACTTGTTAGATTTGTAGATAGTTGGGGCAGTGATAGCTGTCAACGAAAATTCTTTATTTTTCCAGATGTGAGAAGGGAATAGGAAGCTGTATGTGTCAGTCATCAATTTGGGATGAATAAAATGTAGGAATGAAAGTTCTGTTGTAAAGAAACTTAACTCACTAACTCATTCCTATGATTTACACAGTATTTATGGATAAGAAGAAGCTATTGATAGACACAATAACAAAATACATACAGATGGGAAGTGACATTCCCATTTGGATAACCATCTGTACATGACTTTAGTAGTTCTGCTGTCTCTGTGCTTTTAAAAACCCTTACTTCAAAACCCAGTTCTTTTCAAATACTGAGAAAGATTGCCAAAAACACAACACTAAGCTGTTGTCTTTAGCTCAGTAGGGATTACTTGGTTTTTTAGCAGACTGTGCTTAGCCCTACCTGCTAATCCCCGTTCTGTTATCAAATGGGTTGGCTCCTTCAAATCATCAGAGGCTGTAGCAAAACGCCACTTTTCTCCTTCAGTTCTTATTCTCACTGACATCCTGTTGGACCAGCTCTGTCCAAAATGGTTACCCACCTTAGACTTCTACTTGATGTGTGTTGGGTGCTTTTAGTCATAATTTGCTAAATATCTTTTGGCTGTCCTTAACTGTTTAGGAAGAAAAGTGGAATTCTCACATCAATGCTTTTTAAGGAAGCACACAAGCACAGAAAAGGTTAGCTATATAGGAATCAGGGGCAGATTTTACCCAAAATCTCAGTGTGATTGTAATGCAGAGTAATTTCTTTTCATTTTTGCTAAGGAAGCAGAATATAATATAATAGAAGTAGAGAGAAATGTCCAGGGGTGGAAGGAAGTAACATACTGAATGGCTTTCCCAGTGCACTGGAGCAGATAACTGAGCAATTAGGGCTATTAAAACCAGACAAAGCACCAGACCAGTATTTAAAAGACTCTATTAATGGAAACCAGGAACTTTGCACAAAGCTCTGACAGATCCCTAAGGATAAGGAGTCAAGGTTGCTGAATCCTAGTATATCTTGCACTAGCTAGCCAATTCTGACATCTCAATATCAGTGTAGTTCAGAGATGAGTTCTCTACAACTGTGGCAGTAAGGCTGGTCTGGTGGCTACATCATTGCACGGAGGAGATAGTATGGGCATCTCTTGGTGCTTCTGAAGGTCTTGCAAGGGCAAGCTTATTCCTACAACCACCATCCCTACCCTTATGGATCTTTAGGCTTTGCAGAAGTATAAGGACTTTGAGAAAAGCATACATCAGAGCAAGGCCTTACGAGAAGCTGCGAGACAGAGCCTGGGAGAGGTGCTGACGTTGCAGAGCTGCAGGCAGGCTGGAGATGAGCTACAGTGCTGGGCAACACGGAGCTGCTCCCCAGCTCCTAGATCACCACCTACCCCTGGCTACTCCCTTTCTGCTGTATGAAATGAGACACAGCTGTGGGCAGCGTCCCCTCTGCCCTTGCCTCAGGCACCTTCTGCCACCTCAGAGGCATGAGGAGATGCTTCAGCAGACCATGTGGCCTCAACAACCTGCCAAGACTGCAGGTTGAGCTGCACACTTCACCTGTCTCCTCTACAGATATATTTTAAAAGTGTTGAAAAAGAGACCTTTAAGAACTACATTAAGGGTGGACCATTTTGCATATGTTCCCCATGATTATACTCCTTCTGTAGCAACAAAGATAGGAAATTGGTCTAGAAGGCCCTTTGGACTGACACAATGTAGTGATTATGGTCTTAGTAGCATCATGCAAGCTTAAAAAAGTTGAAGATCTAAAAGCACTTTGCTGTCAAGCCAGACTCTCTACAGGGGACAGATAGTAGATAAAAGAGTCTTCTACTGATTAAATTACAGTGTAATTTAATAGACAGATGTGTCCAATCTATGTAGGCTAGAAGGAGACTTTGAACAATTTTGTTGGAATGAGGGAGACTTGTTTTTCTTATGTCCTCCTCTGTCCCATATGAGAACTCCAAACTTGGAATTTAGGTAGAGAGGGCAGAAATGGATTCTTTTATGGGCTTAATTACCTTAAATACAAATGAGGATGAAACTGGATCTCCTGAATGTAAGCATTAAAATAGAAAGCATTGAGTTCTCCATGTGAGATGGAACTGGCATTTAGCACTGTGTAATAAGTCTGTTGCTCCTAACAGCATCTCTGAATGCATGAGGTAGTTAAAAATACACTGAAAGACTGCAGTTCACAGTGAGAAGCAGCCAGAAAAGATTCAGAAAATTAATGCTGTCCCTGACAAGTAGGCTTTAAATGCGCAAGCACAACAGAATCATTTCTGCATGCGATAGCTCTGACTTCCATGGCATTTCTCCAATTTAAGACAGAACTTAATGCCTGACTCTTTGCTTTGAGGATGCCATCAAAGTATTAATGTGCAGAGTTGCTCCCTTCTCGATTTTAAAAGAATCTATTCTGATACATACAAACCTAACAGCTTTTTATAGGCTGCTTCTAAAACAACTTCATTTGGTTACAAATCTGAGGAAGGAACCCTTTCTTCCTTGCTGGAAAGAAAATATACAGAAAATAACAATCTTATATCTTAAAATCTATTATGGTGCTTAATGCTGCAGCTGCCAGCTATTTGAAAAGAGTTGAACTGAGTTGGGCTGGGCACCCCAGGGCCCCATCCTGGGAAGGCTGCAGCTAGCTCACTCCTTGCTGCAAGCCCTGCCTGAAGGCACAGTCTCCTTCTAGGTGTAAATATGGCCCGTCAGTAGTGCTGGTATATTTACCTCCTCACTGAGACTGCATAGAGAAGGAAAAAAAAAAAAAAAAAGGAAAAGAAAAAAGAGAGAGAAAGTAGGACACCATGTCTGAATCACAGGAGGAATTTCTGAACTGTTCCAAAACGGTACCTAGCTGGATTACTGTACACAGACAAACTGGAACGCTGACATCAATATGTTGTCACTCACTGGTTTTCAGGTTTTTTTATGCAGAGATCTCTTTTTGGAGATTCAGCATGTTTAGTAAATTCTAAATAAGACTGCAAAGCATGTGGTATCTGCAGCTGCTCTACATCTACCACTCTAATGGCTGTTAACATATTCTGCTATTGATTTTTGTGCAAACTACAGATTTTAAATAGGAGGCCTGCCTGCAGAATAATAGCGTCATAGTACCCTACATCTTACTAATAAAAATAACAGCTCCCTAATACAAGAACCTCGTGATCAGGTTCATGCGGGTCAATTAACATTCAGAAATCTGAAGCACATATTTGAGATATATTATTTCATTCAGATGCTGTTTTTTTGCTGTATAATATCACACATAAATTACACACACACAAAGAATTGATTCCTGTGGACTTGTAATGAAACAATATGGAAGATTTCCATGTTTTACCTTGCACTGGCAAGAAATGATGAATACAACAAAAAACTGCAAAAACCTAATTTTATGGCATACATCATGCAGATGAAAAAAAAAATCACTGCAATCAGCACAGTGTTGCTGCAGCACGTGGTGGGAGTGCTGCTGGGGCTCCCCGCTGCCCCGGGCCGCTGTCACCCTGGAGCTGCAGCGGCCGCGGTGCCAGGCACGGAGCTCCCAGGCACCCTGGCACCACCTCCCTGCGTGTGCTACAGGAGCAGCAGGTTCCGCTGCCGATGCCGCAGAGGAGGAGGGACGGGACGTGTCTCTCAGCTCTCATTTTTGTGTTGTTTTGCTTTTAGTCATATATGTTCGGCTTCAGAAATAAGGTAGAATGAACCGACTTCATGCCCTGTGTGGCTTACTCCTGCAGCCTGTCCCCGGGGCGTTTTGGAGAGTTTCAAGCCAGACTAAATTAACATTCTCAGTGAATTATGTTATACGTTACTCTGAAATACTGTACTTTGCAGCAGAAATTATCCCATAAAATAGAGCCAGTCTTAGAGGAGAAACTTGACTGTAATTATGGCTTTCAACTAAATGCTCCTTCAAATTTGCAACTTCGCTTTATGTCTTGTCATCAACTTCACACTGCTCCTTCTCATCTTCTCTTTATGCATCTGGCAGAGGTTGATGCAGAGGGAGTCAGTATAATAACAGCATGAGATAGCATGACATGGCAAAAATGCTTAGTATTATGAACTTAATAAAGCACGAATTTATCCTATTAATTTATGAAATAAATAAGTTAGTATCTCTAAAAATAATTTCATCATTTTAATCCCTTTCTAATATGTACAAGACATAAAACCTTGGATCTTGTGCAGACTGTCAGTCTGTCAAAACAATAAAGGTAACAGTTTCCTAATTTAGGAACATCTCCTTAATTGTATACACATTAGCACACAGAAAATAAGTAATGGCAGGTATCAGTTTCTTTTACATCTAGGCAAGAAATCAATTGATTTGTACTTCAACTCTCATTTATTTCTGGTACACATATCCAATTGCTAAGTAATGTTACCAGATCAAGATAGAAGTAACAAAAAACTGAGTGAGAGAAAAAGGTTTTGTCCAAATTCACTAATCTTCTTAATGCATCTCACATATGCTGCATGGCAAAAAGAAGGAAGCAAAGGGTAATTCAGTAAAGCAAAAAGGGGCTTGTCAGCAAAAATAGTAAAAATGCATCCTTATAGGAAACAGAGCTTTAATGTCGTTGTTGAAGTAAGAACACTTCTCCCCTAAGAACATGCCTAAAGCAAGAGACTGAAAGTTGGGCACTTCTTAGCTAACTTATGGCACTGCGTTGCCATGCATACATACAAAATTTCCATGAAATTCTGGTACAAAAACATGGTTATTAATACCAGTGCAATGTGTTCTCTACTAATCAGCTAAGCTAATCTGTGATTTTTTTTTCTTCCCTCTCACCTTCCAAATGCATGACCTGTGATGGGATGCTAGAATGAATCTGGCAAGCTGCAGTCTGATGAATTTAAAGCCTGCCTCATCAGTCTAGGACAGGTTGGAAATGACCTGCAGGTAGAGCAAAATGGTGCTATTCTGTTTTCAAATAGGCCAATATAATAATAACCAAAGAGACCGTGGGTTTAAATTCTAAGGTATTGGTCAGAATGCCTTAAAAAGGTGCTGCCTCTGGGAAGACAGCTGGATTAGATGGATTCTCAGCATCCCTCAGAGCCATATTTTCTTATGTGCATTTAAAAAAAAAATTTCCAGGTTGCTTTTTCTACTTGATTTCAGATGACTTATTTGGACTCTAATGAATAGCTGTGGTTAATTGTTACCATTTTTGCACACAGACTTTTCTTCATTTTCCTTTCCCTGGTCTTAGCCCAAGCTCTCTACTGCTCTCTTCTGATTTAGGATATGTCTGTCTCCAAACCACTGTATTAGACGACAACACACAACACAGAGGAACCTTTTATTTTCCTTCTTACTCTAATGTCCTTTAGTGTTTACCCAGCCCTGAGCCAGAAAGGTCACATACATGTCAGCGCTCAGCAAAATGAGCATTCTCCTGTCCTAAATATCTGCAGTGACACCTTCTCTTCTTCTTCTTGCAAATCTCATCATTTAAGCCCTTGTGCTGTCTTTATTGTAGTCCAAGTCCTGTTAGCTGATAGGCAGAAGAAGGAAAATCCCTGAACTTATTTCCCATACTTCAGCACACAGTTCTCATCATGTACCTATGTTAGCCTTGAAATACAGTGTTTTTAATTGTCAGTGATACGCTATTTTCAGGCAGTTTAACTACTCCTGTATTCAACACACTATCTCATGCACAACCTTCAAAACACGCTGCATATCATGGAGGCAGATTGTGCATTTCCTGCCTTTGGATATACAGTAACAAACTTTTCTCTTTGACTTTTTATCTTCTCTGGTTGTGTTCTGTGTCTTCCTGTCTTGTTCACCTCCCCTTCTTCCTTCTGCGTCCCCCAAAATGGTCCTGATTTTACTCCTTGTTGTGCATATGTCTGTTTCCTGTGTGTAATCTGCTAGCTGCTGCTTTTTCCTTTAAAACTGATGATGCTCCTGGGGACCTGCCTGGGTAATATCAATGAATACTGCTCATACACCGGATCCAATTTCCCAATGGTCTAAACTTCTCTGGAAATGACCCTGGATGCCTCAAACCTTCCCTTCTGTATTCCTTGCATTGTTTTGGTCAATAGAGGAAGAATGGACTGATGGACCACGACGATTTCAGAGCTTGCTTAATTTCCATGGGTTATGATTTGGTATGAATTTTCAGATACAATGAAAATGGGCTTTGCTTGCGGCTTGTAACATTAACCACAGCAACATTAAAACTTATTTATGCTGGCAGAATACTAATAATGCAATTCATACTTGATACAGTAGTTCCTTGTTTGCTTTTTTCTTTTTTTTCAAATGGCTGAAAGGAAGCTAAAAGTCACCTAAAAGCTAAAGGAAGCTAGATACTTGGAAATCATAATCCGTGATCTTATTCTACTGCATGGCTCTTTGAATTATACAAGAACCTAAAAAGTTGAAATTTACAGTTTGTTAAATTAAAATTTTTCTTCTTTCTCCTCATATATAAGATTTAACTTTTTATTTGCAGAAAGAAGAATGAGTTCGATGCTTTTTAATTCTCATAGTTATTGTAAGCTAGCTTTAGAGGTTGCACTGTCTTTCATTCCTCTACTTCTGTATTTTAAGTTTTCCAAAATATTCATGCTTCTTTTGTAAGAAAAAAAAAAGACTAGCCAAAGTTGAACTGTCCTGTATTTGGCATGATATTTTTCTAACTGTTTCTCTGCCTTCTTCAGTGGGTCTGCATGTACACAGCTTCGCGGGGTATCTTCCCTGCATCATGTGCAGTACCTAGATTACAATGGGAACATAACTTTCTTTTTAGGAAAAAATAAATAAAGGAAGGAGTGAGAAATTAAGTGTTAAGTCAGAACAGATTAAACAGGGAGGAAGTGCAGAGGGGGAAAAGTTACCGAAAGTTGGTTGAAAGATACCTACTGTTTCTTAAGGACAAAAAACTCTTTCTTCAAAAGCATCAGGAGGGAGGCATTTAAGATTCCAGGTATCACTGGCTGTTTGTGACATTAATGTCCATGTATCAGTAAGAGGAGTTAAAGATTTTGTGACCCCCAACGCTAGGGCCTCGTCAGAGAGGCCGAGCACCGGAGCTCGATACTGTGGTGACAGTTTCTTTGTTTGCGATTCTGTGAAAGGGTGAGGCTGAGTTTGCCCGAATCATGTCTCTGGTTGACCCCAATGGGCAAGGAACCGTCACCTTCCAGTCCTTCATTGACTTCATGACCAGAGAAACGGCGGACACGGACACGGCTGAACAAGTGATCGCTTCCTTCAGGATCCTCGCTTCCGATAAGGTCAGTCATGGTGCTGCTGGCCGCAAGGATCCCTGTCCCATCCCGTTTAGCCCTTCTTTGCTGAAACAAAATGGCTCATGCCAAACGGCTAGTAATAGTGAAGCTTTGCTTTCAGTTTGTATGGCCTCAGAGAAAGCACTTTGCCTTCTATTCCTGATGGGAACCAGTAAGCTTAGCGGAAGCAGGTATAGAATTCAAGGCGTAGGCTGTATCTGCTCACATCACAGAGAGCTAGCATTGACGCTGACATCCAAGACAGTATTCGCTCCCAACCAGTTTGTCTGTGTAATGGATATAGTGAATCCCAGTGCCACACGGCAGCCTTGATTAGAGGGGCAGTCAGTCTACCTCATCGTTGTGTTGACTGGACATTTCAAGCAGAGTTTGTAACACGGCCTCTGCTGTCATGCCCCAGATCAGGTCTGTGGCTACACCTGGCTGAGAGTCAGTCTCAGCGGGGTGAGGCCCTACCCTTGGAGGAAGCAAGAGGAGCCCTTCTCCAGGTCCTGAGCACACGGCGAGAGTGACTTTCTTACTGCTCTCATAAAGGAAATGCAATGTGCTCTCCTCCCCACAGCCACAGACTGGTGTATGAAGACGAAAGGGAGAGCAGTAACAACAAAATTGTTTATGGAGGAGTAAGGGCGATAAACAGGGCTGACAGGAAACTAAGCCTGCGCTATGGCAAAAGGAGAGATCACAGCAACATGGGTCTATTTGCCCAAGCTTGCTCTATTAATTTTTTTCAGTCTGGCCTTTTGTATTGATTTTATGATCTCAGATATTTGTGGACCACATTTTAAATTCCAGACATGTTCTCAACAGAAATATGTGTGGAAGATAAAAGCCAAGGTCCCAGGAAAATCAGCTTTTCATTGTTATTGCAAGTAAAACCAAGTCTGTTAACAGTTTCAGAGAGAATCTTTTATATCCTAAATGCAAACTATGAAGAGTAATAATACATCTTTCATTCTAAATATATTATGGCAATGAAACTAACAGGGTCTAATTGAAATGTATCTGTCCTATCTTTTCAGAAGGGACAGTAATGCACTCCAGAGATACTGAGAAGCTTAGCTATTCGTGGATGAGTTTTTGTATCATAGCAGTGCACCCATGGCTTCACAGAGCTCAGTAACTAATGTACGCAGTCCCATATCCTCAGATTGGGTTTTGGCCTAAGCTTTTTGTTTGTTGATAAAATTGTTCACTCAGCTTATCATGAGGGGTGGAGCCAACCAAGGAAAATGTCTTGATCTCAGGAGAATAGGCAGGACATCCAAGTTTATTAGTCACAGCTACAAAAAATATTTTGTGCTTTCGAAGAATATATGCTGAATTTGTCCCTTCCTTTCACCCCCCAGCCTTATATCCTGGCAGATGAGCTACGTCGAGAGTTGCCTCCTGATCAGGCTCAGTACTGCATCAAGAGGATGCCTCCCTACACTGGGCCAGGCTCCGTGCCGGGTGCTCTGGATTACACCTCCTTCTCATCAGCGCTCTACGGAGAAAGCGACCTCTAGCTCCGTAACTGACCGCGTTCATGTCAGACACTAAAAACACCACCTGGTTCCCCAGATTGCTTTTCAAAAGCTTTCACAAGCCAATTTAAAAATGAGTTTTACAAATACAGTAGGTACCTTCAGTGTAAAGTGCTAGTAACTTAACTAGTGTATATTAAAGTGTGCGGCACGTGTAGATTTCTACATTGTTGGTTTTAGGTTGTCTGTTCCATACAGTGCTGGAAAATATCTTGAAAATTAAACAAATTTCAGGATATAACTTTGGAAATATTCATTGAGAAAATAAAATGTAAAACCTAAGATCATTTAAAATTTGAATTCTTAAGATCCACAAAATACTTTTTTTCATTTTTAAAATGTTCAATACCAGATGTGCTTCTTTTACCAAGTTCATAAAACTACATTAAAATAATGTTTTTTTCTTTCGTACAGTAGTGCTATTTTTCTTTAATGATTTTGTATGCTACTACTGGTGGAATTTAACAAAACATTAAAATTCAAATTTTCAGGGAATAAAAATATCAACCAATCACTGAAATCCAGAATGCTATGCTTTTAAACTATCTTAGAGATGGCTTTCTGTTATCACAAAGAATTGTAACATAGGAAGAAAACAACTGAAAAGCTGCTTAAATTGCAGTTTTAGAGCTCTGTAAGCAATACTTTTCTTTTAATCCTTTAACTTTTACAGCTGAGAGAGTACAACTTTTATAATAAGAAATAAGGAAGCTATTTCATGTGAACTGTATTGTGTTGAAACCCTCCTTCTTGTCTGTGTTGGAGACTCTCTGTTTCTCAGTATACGAACGCCAGTCCCTTGCTGTATTGCAGGCAACATGCATCTGCATCCTGCATAGGCAGAACCCCACGTGCGCAGACGTAGCGTAGCTGTCTTGCAGCTTGAACCGTCCAGTGCTCAAATTACAGTTTGTCTTGAGTTCGGCGGGATCGTGGGCCGTGCTGTGTTTTGCGCTACTTGTTTTACTGTTTTATTTCCATCTTGAGAAATGATAGAGAAGTAAAAAGCGGCAACTTTTTTACTTGAATCCTACTGTCACTGAGGAAATGCCATGTAATCAAACAAAACCATTCACAAAAGGTGAAGTGAGCTGTGCAGCCCAGTGCTATTAAAGCAATGATGTGCCTATTAAATAAAGTCTGCTTTTCAAAACCGTATGAGACTTCTGTCATTGACAGTCATATACCATTTTCCTCCAAGAACCAGCAATATTTCTGCACATTAAAAAGAGGTTTCATCATGCTGAAAGTAAAACAAATCAGAAATGTATGTCATGTATGTCATGTAACCTGTGCACTACTTGTGTTGGCATGAACCACGTGCTGTGTGCTGGACGGAGATGGGCAAGGCCTCACGAGGCGGGAATGGGTAGCAGACCTTCCCACCTCACCCACCTTGCGTTAGGCAAGACGTCCAGCACAAACATCCAGAGCTTATTAGACTCTTAGCTTAGGTTGATTTCAATGAGACTTTGCCAGGAGACTTTGCCACTGACGCTGGGATTGCTGGTCATAATCTTTCTGTATTTCTCTATTTCCTCACTGGTAAGTAGATAATAGCACTTTGCATTATTGGCCTTTGCTTTGAAATCTATCCATGTGAAGCATATATACCAAAGTAGGCATCCCAAAAGTAAGCGTGCATGGTGTGAACAGCCTCAAATCAACCCCACCAGAGACGAGCAATGGCCAAATAACTTTCTCCTGCTTGTGTACAGGGGCCTAAAAAGGGCTTAGAAGAAAGATTAGGACTAGAAACTCATCTGCAGGGCATGAACAGCCAGAAGCTGTTCCCCCTGCTGATGCTGACAGCACCTGTGCAAACTAACATTGGGAAGATCTGCCTTAGAGCCACAGCATTTCCAGCCAAATGACTGTGGGCAGGCTGAAACCTCTTAAAAAATAAATCTGCATATGTCTCGTCACAGTTTAATGCAACTGGAACAATAAAACAAAAAACTTCCAGCTGGGCACAAAAGTAAAATTTCTGTCTTAGAGACAGGATTATACTAAAAATTGGCACAAAAACAGTTTATAGCCGATACCCCCATTGCATACCATGTTCTTTACTTGCAGATCTTTACATTGTGATATTTTTTCTATCTTTGATAGAATGGAAGAGACTTCTAAATTCATCCTATAGCCAAATGCTCAGCTGTTCAAAGGAGGTTAGAGATAACATTATCAGCACCGACAGAAAAAGACTTTTGTAAAGTAATTTTTAATTCCCATATCACGTTTCTAGTTTCTGCAGTAGAATGAACAGAGCAAGTAGCAGGCAGCTGCAAGGATTAATTACCCGTAGGTACTTGCCTAAAAATGTCACGCCGTATTTGTTATTTTGGTATGTCTTTCATGTAAAAAAAAAAAAAAAAGTTATTTCTCCCAGCATTGGTTAATTTTAGGGTAATTAAGTTAAATAAGTAAGCTACGTTATTTAACCCTGAATTGGGTAAAATAGATCTATAGGGTCCTGTGGTCAGGTCCCAGGGCTGTGGGTCTGTGACTGAGGTTTCCTGTTTCTGTAAAGTTCCATTTTTCATAACAATGGAATTGCTATGAAAATTGCAGCGAGTTTCCATTTTTCAGGCAATTGTGTATTTTTTTTTTTCCTATTGAATCAGCCTGTTCAACACTGGGGAGCAGTGGTTTCAGTGGCATTTTCTGTCTGTACCATTCAGGCAGCAAACTGGAGTTTTCCTATAAAAACATAACTGAGTCCTTGGGAATAAAGGTACTAATTATAAGGGCCAAATGGAGGTGCAAGAGGAGAAGGTACAGCATTTTTTTAGGATCATGTGAATGAAGGCTATAGGATAAATTAAAATCCAGACAGAAAGTAAGATTCAGTTGCTTTGGTAACTATCAGGTAGACAACTTCTGTGACTTTAGGTGCATACAACAGTTCTTTGAAAAACTTCCTGCCAAAATAATCTTGATTTTTCATAAATCATTTTCAGTCAATGTTCTTCGGCAGGGTGCTGAGACAGGCAGAGACAGTGTTGGCAGCTCTGTGCTACCTTCATACAGCCTTTTTTCCTAAGAAGGGTTTTCAGATGTTCTTCATTTCTTATGTGCTGGCCAAAAAAATCCTTGGACCAGAGCTGCTCCTCTTTGGCTTTTATTTTCATTAGAACATGCTGTTCAGTTGTCTGCTTCTTGGAGGAGACCATGCACTTTTATTTAGGCTGTTCCTGCTTTATATACAGGCGTTATCCCAGATCTAAGTGGTCTCAATGAAGAAGGAAAACAGTTCCTGTCAGTAGCAAGATTGAGGAGATAAGCAGGATATTCTTTTTTTTTTTTGACTGCATGGCCTGTGATTCAGAATAATTAAAAATAAATAATAAAGGAAATAATTCTTTGATGGTGGCTAGTGTGAGAATGGGCTGACAGGAGCCCACCTGTAAGATTAGTAATGGTTTTTCAGTGTTCTAAGAACAACTCTGGTAATATAAGAGAGTAATACTTAGATAAAATATATTATCTAAATAATATTTAGATGAAAAGATAATTTAGACGAATGTTCATGACTTAATCGTGCCAAATCCAAGTTCTCAGTCCTCATTTTCTTCAGTGAGACTGTTGCTTGGTGGCAGATGGAGTTTTAGACTGTCAGGAATGGCAAGGCCTGAGGTCATTCTCTCCCAAAAACAACACAACAAAGAGGGTGTAGGTCTGATATTCACACAGCCAGAAAGCAGGAAATCATCTTTATGAAACGTACTTAGAAAGAAGGATCTGGTTGTTCAAGCAAGAAGTCACGTGCATCCTTTACATATCTTGAGCAGTAAGTAAAAATTATTACATATAAGCTCTGGCTTTCAGTTTGTGTTGTAATAGGAACTGCCATTAAAGCAGCTCTACTACCTGCCTGCGGAAGTGGGCACAATCTGCCTGTGCTTTGGATTACTTGACCAGTGCATTTCTTAACTGGGCCAAAACTGCTCAGCAGTCTATAATTACTTTATTATGTCGAGATTTGTATGTTCTCCTGAAAAGAGGGAGCTCAAGAGGAGATGCGGCTATTGCGGTGTGGGCGCTCTGATGCATTACCCGAAAAAGCCCCCAAAGGCTCCTTCCTGAGTCAGAAAAACAACCCTGGAGATGCCTGCAACTCCTCAGTGCACAGCACCTACTATAATTATGCAGTACAACACTGTGACCCTTGCTCATGTTGCATTAACCTCACTGCTCTAGAAAGTCTCTCCTTCTTGGTAAGTCGTCAGTAGGCTCCAGACTACCTGACATGCCCACTCTTCCCTGTATTCTTCTTGCACAAGGTTTACGTTGGTCGGCCTGTGATCTTGTTGGCCTGGGACCTGCTCTACCATCGCACTGAGGAACTGCTTCACCGGTGCTAAGTCCGCACTGCACATGGCGGGTGGCATCTTCCGGCGAGATCCGACTTGTCTCAGACTAAATATTTTAATATAGGAAGATGAACTAAATGGGATTTCATTTTGTTTTATAGTCTCTTTTTCTAACGAATGATTCCTCTATAATTTTAAGCCAAGGTATTGGTAGCCCCACAAAGGATGAGTCTATCACCTCTTTCCCCATGATCCTATTTATTTATAAATGGACCATTTGCAAGGTCTGGTTATCATGTGGTTGGGAAGGTAGAATTAGCCCTTTCAAGAGTAGCCTGCATTTATATTATATTACAGTGACTGTAGAAGTGTGGAACTAGGGAACCAAACGCATATTTTCACTTTATTATTCACAACAAAAGAATGAGAAAATTTATGTGCAAATAGGAAAGGCAGAATTTCCTAAACATTGAGATAATACCACGAATACCATTCATTTCACTCAGAAAGTAGGACAGCTGCATTAATCCACAATCCCAGCCTTTTCTGCATGAGAGTTTAGCTAGGGTTTCATAATCCAAGCTTCAAAATAGATTCCCCTGCCAATTTGCTAGGTTTGTTGCAGTTTCATTAGCATCTCTAACATTGCTCTGCACAAACTGGAACTGTTCACTGGAACAGGCTGCCCAGAGAGGTTGTGGAGTCTCCTTCTCTGGAGATCTTCAAAACCCGCTTGGACACAGTCCTGTGCCACGTGCTCTAGGTGACCCTGCGTGTGCAGGGGGGTTGGACTAGATGATCTCTAGAGCTCCCTTCCAACCTTAAGCATTCTATGATTCTATGAAACT